TCATGTTAATAATAGAATAACATAATAATATGATAACATTAATATTTAACAGTTGACATCATCTTCTTGAACAACTCTCCTCTTTACCATTTTCTCCAATTGTATCTCCTCCTTTCTAAGTTCTATTATCTAACATTGGTTATCTAACATTGGTAGAATATGTCCCATATCAACAAGTATTCAGTTTCTTCTTTATCCTTAATAGCAAGTGTTAATCTAGCCATTTCTGCACAGTCTAATATTTTCTTAATTACATTCCCCTCAGACGGGATCTCATCATCTTTCCATTGTTGCACAACTACAATTCTAGTTGCAGCTAAAATATGCAGGATCATATGTATCATCAAAAAATGACATAACAACATATAGATCTGAAACCAGAGATATTTTTCTTGGGCATCTTACCAACATCATGCTTTCAAACAAAAGCTTAGACAGTTGAAGTTATCCAACTCACAATAGCACTGAGAAAAAAAAAGTATATCTACAGTTGATCCAGAGTCCAAGATACACAGACAAATCGCAAAATGCAAATTCTAATAGTTAAGGTTTAAAACATAATGTAAAAATATTGCCCCAGAAATCAGTTACGTGATTCATGTGTCAGAAGATCCAACTTTGTGCTACCGAAGCCACACTGGTGCTAGTTATTCTGTATTAGAAAAAAGTCCTTGAAATAGGATGGTCCTTTGTTTCTTTGACACATAATCTGGCATTCCCACTTCTCCTACTGAGTTTGAGAGCGTGCAAGTTACAAGTGATGGAAGTTATTTTTTAAAATAAATATTTATTTATACATTTAATTTAGTGTCTTCATCCATAGAGACTCTGGTTTCTCTTCTCAGCCTTTTCATTTGTTTCTATTCCTGATCTGAACAGAAATATCACATGTGTTTGAAACAAAGAGTTCCTCCCAATGAAATATTCCAGCTGTCTCACAATTCTATCAGAATCACTGTCTTTGCTGTCCTGGAACGTTGCTGAATGGGGAAGTTACAACTAAAGGCCCTGTTTTTACATTTCCAAATTCAACTTTTCTTTTGTTTGTTTGTTTCAAAAAATTTGATCACCCATGGATTTGTTTATTGTGGGATACAAATTTCTATCCCTCCTGCAGATCCAGAGAGAGAGGGGGGGGGAGGGAGAGATCATGCTGGCTTAAGCATTACAAATGCTTAATATTTTAAATGTTCTCAACACTGGGACCATTTTTTAGATTCTTTGGAGAATTTTGCNAAAGAGGAGCGAAAGGGGAGGGGAGTTTGCAGGAGTCAATTAGTTCAGGTCATTAAGGTGAAGATCTATTCCTGACTTCTTGCCAAGTAATTGCTGCTACAGCTTGGCGTTTGGAAGATATTGACCTGGCAATTCTCCAAGCCTGATAAAGGTCTATAGTTGTGAAGTTACATGAAAGACTGTTTGCCAGAACTTTGCTGGAGAGGAATTCCCTTTAACCTAAATAGAAGAGGTTTTATCAGGACGAGGAGTCTGCTTCGTGATCTTGGAAAGCCTAGGTCAGAACAGTGTCATGTAGAAATAGGTTAGGCCATGAGTGTCAAATTCACTGTGTCACGTAGCTGTCGCCTGACGTATCGTGATGTTTTTCCTTTCGCAGAGCTGGGGTGGGCATGGCCTGTGCATGACGTATCTAGACCATGGGCCGCCAGTTTGACACCCTTGACCTAGGCGCTGCCTGTACTGCACTGTATATTTGCAGCTTCAGTAAAGTTATGTGTGCATAGGCTGGGAGGGACTTTGCGAACACAGCTCTTCCAACAGCGCTTTTTACCTTATCTCTTTAGTTAAAGTTGACATTTGCCCTGAAGGGAGAAGGATTTAGAAACCTGCCTAGGGGAATATAATAGCGAATTCTTATTGACTCTCTGTAGGGTTCTGCAGTCAGCAAAATCTTCCTTCTCTTAAGTTTTGAATTCCCTAAAGTTGGTTTTAATGCTTTTCAAAAGAAACTTCACAAATGGTTCCTGGAGTTTTTGGATAAAACTGTGAAAATGGAGTTACACTCTTCCAGGTATATGTCCTTTGGAAGAAATGATATATAAAGTATATGAACCTGCAGTTACTTTGCATGAATAGATCCTAATTCAGGTACAATCTGGGTAATCTCTACTTTGAAAACAATTTTTCAGTATTTTTTGTGCATAAACACATGTTGACAACCATGTGAGGTACTGTATGTACAGACATCTCAATCAGGACAATATGGACTTTCCATTCTATTTATATGGATGGATTGATATTGTGGGTTAACTGTGGTCATACTGTACACGCCCACTCAGTTCCCTTTGAGATACATGCCGGTCGTCTATACTTTTGTTTTAAAATATTTGAAATTGGCACCAATATAACATTGATCTATTGAATATAGCTAGTCCTCAACTTACAACACTTCATTTAGTGACCGTTCAACATTACAATGGCACTGAAAAATGTGACCTATGACCATTTTTCACAGTTATGACCTTTGCAGCATCCCCATAATCACGTGATCAAAATTCAGATGCTTGCCAACTGCTTCATATTTATGACGGTTGCAGTGTCCCAGGGTCACACAACCTTCTGACAAGCAAAGTCAATGGGGAAGCCAGATTCACTTAACGGTGTTATTAGCTTAACAACTTCAGTGATTCACTTAACAACCA